TTTTTTTTTTTTTTTTGCAAACAGCACTTCTTATCAACAAATAAATTTTGTACTGTTCAACAAGGTAAAAATAATTGCCAAGAAATAAAAATTAGGTTGCTTAAAAAGAAGCATCTTTAAAAAGATTGTTTTAAAAAATAGAGTGATAATCATAAAGGTGATGACGCAAATTGCAAAAAAATGATTGCTGACCATATTTTGGCAGTTTTTTATTTTGAAATGTTGTTTTCACATAATTTATCCCAGAATAGTTGACATTTCTTTTTTTTTTTTTTTATTCTAATGTATTTAGTGACAAAAAAGAATCTGAGTAGTTACCGTACGGTTTATGTGTTCAATGATTCATTAGCCATATTTTTAGATAAAAGAATCTTTAAACAGCATTCTTGTACTTTTATCACGCTGCAAGTTATTTGGTTCCCTAATTTTTTTTTCTTCTACTGTTTCAGTCCATCTTATTGCTTAGTTGAATCTTATTGTCGTTTGGTAGGTCGCTGTTGTTTTCTCTGTTTTGTCTTTAGCAACAAACTTCTTTAGCACCATCATCTTTCTTTTTTTCTTGAATTTCTAAATTTTTTTTTGATTCTTTCTTTTTTTTTTATTACCTTTTTGTCTAGCAGTTTTCTTGACAAAGCGCTATTATGAACCGAAAAGCATATCATAAAAAAATTAATCTAAAGTTATTAGAATCAAACTGTGATAAAAACAGTTACCAAAAACAGTTAGCTATGCAGGAAATTTCAAATAACGCCTTTTCAATTCCAGAAAAAAAATTTTTTTATTTTTGAATTATTTTAAAAATTTATACTATATTACCGCTAAATATGCATTTCTTTACTGTTTTTATTTTTAGTATTTTATCAGTTTGTTTATTGTCGTTCAGACTGTTATTATTTATTAAATTTGTAAAAAAATTGCATCAATGATTTGTTAAAAGTTTATTTACTGTGTTGACAAATTAATTTTTGTGAAAGGCTTTTTCTCCCTGCTAAATTTACTGTTACACCATCAAAGTTGAAATATTTTGTTTTCATTAATTCAGATGTTTAGCAAAGATCCCGTTTTGTTTTCACACTGAGTAAACAACAAAAAACCATAATCAAATATGTTCAGAACGGTATCACTGGTTTTGAACAACTGTGTCGTCAGTGTTTATAGCCTGTGGAAAATGTTTCTTTTTCCGCATTCCTCATGAATCTGTAAATATTTTTTAGTTTTTAGGCTGAAAGTAGTATTCATAAGGAAACACCAGTTTGGATATTACCAACAAGTAAGAAAGGTACCATAAAAAAATGACGGAAAAAGATGAGAAAAAAGATTTGGATGTTGAAAGTTCGGGATATGCTAAAGGTGATGATGAAGCACCTCGATGTGTTGACGAAGTTGAAGAAGCCGATGAAACGCCAACAGAGGAGAAGCAGAAGAAGAGTTTTTTCGGTCTAGCAATTTCTGTGCTTTTGGTAGTCACTGGCTCTTGTAATACTCTCGCAGCCAAGTAAGCTTTCCAAAAAATCTTGTCTAAGACTTACTATTTAATAAAACATTCTTTTAGGTTGAAATAATTGTTTTTACTATTGACTTGTTTTTATAATTAAAAGATTATTCTAAACATGTAACAGTAGTAAATACTTTTTTTCCTTAGATGGGCTGATGAAATTACTATTCGAAACGGCACTGATGTAATTATTTACAAGACATTACCCAATGGTTACTATCAGTATGAAATCAACAAATATGAAACAAATTTTGCACATCCATTTTTTCAGGTTGTTTATCGTTAATTTGGTTTCTGAGTGATTTTCAAAATGGATTGCAACTAATTATTATTTAAAAGAAAACAGTAAAATAAAAATTTTTAAAGATGTTATATGCACAATACAGTTGCAGTAATGTAAAGCAAACAAAACTGTAGACAAGTTTTAAATTTCTTATCTTACTGAATTGCAGAAGTTTTGCGATGTCTGAAAAACCCAAAATTTCATTACAACACTGTTAAAGTTGGTTCATATTTTTATAGGCAACAGTAATGTTTGTTGGTGAAATGTGCTGCATGGTGGTTTACTTTATAACGTTGTTCGTACAACGGCGTCAGTGGAAGAAGCGACATCCATCAGGGCTATCGTCTGACATCAAAAAAGTTCGAAGCAATGAAGACGGCGATCAGGTATCAACGACCAGCCAAATAAGCGTTTACCCTAAACCACCAAAAATGAACTACTTTCTGTTCGCAGCACCGGCTTTCTGCGATGTTGTGGCAACATCTGTTCAGTATCTTGGTCTAACACTAACATCTGCATCATCTTATCAGATGTTGAGAGGTACTAAAAATATTAGTTGTTTGAGAAAAAAAAATTTTTTTAATGTAGACTTAATAAAGTAATTAATGCTACTAAAGCCGTAATATTGTTATTAATTTGTTAAAGTTCTTGAAATAGCTGGAAGGATTTCATAAATAAATGAATTCTGATACAATATTTTTTTGAATTTTCAAATGCTTTTTTACTCTGTAAATGTCAATTTACATTGCACACTGTTAGTATATTATGCTTAGTTCAGGTGCTGTAATTATATTCACCGGTATTGCATCAATGATCTTCTTAAAATCTCGTTTACAAGCATACCGTTGGGTTGGTATGGTTGTTGTGGTAATTGGTTTAGCTGTTGTCGGGGTCGCTGATATCTTACTGACTGAAGAAGACGACGATACCAGCACTTCAGATATTATTATTGGTGATAATTGTTATCTTGATTCAAAAGAAAAAATTGAAAAAAATTGCAAAAATTAAAGAAACAGTATCAATTGAGTATACTGTGCTGCTGCACATTTCTTTTATCATTCAAATATAGGAAAATAAAGCAGAAATTTTCCTTTTTTTTTTCGTTTTCTTTTTTATTTGAATAATAATATTTGACTATCAATAAAAAATTTTTTTGAACAAATTGAACCTGAAATTTTTTTTTGCAGGTGATATATTGATTATTATTGCACAAATTGTAGTGGCAATACAGATGGTGGTAGAGCAAAAGTTGTTATCTGATGCTGATGTACCGGCTCTTTTAGCTGTCGGATTAGAAGGTAGCCTTACTTTCTTTTTTGTTTTTTTTTTCTTTTTTTTTCTGGTATGCTGTTTATAACCGAAATAAAAACGAAAAAATTTGATATTTTTTATTTGCGGTACAAGCACTGATGATGTATCAGATTATCATCGACGAATACCAACGACTAATTGACTATTTGTAAACTTTTAACAGTGAGAAGAGTTTATGCCATAAAACTTTTTTTAGGTATATTTGGATTTCTTATTTTATCAATTCTTATGATACCGATGTATTTCATCAAAGTACCGGATGCGTTCAGCGATATTCCTGGGAATAAACTGGAGGATGCACTGAATGCATTTTGGATGATGAAAACTAGTGGTGAATTGGTTGGCTCACTTTGTACCACAATTGTCAGGTAACGACAATAATCCTGTTGAAGGATCATCTATTATACCCGTTTTGTCTGTATATTTAGCTTTAAAAAAAGATAATTAAATTGCTGATGAAAGAAAAAGTGCGTAAAATTAACTGTTTCATTTTTTTTTTCATATTACTACAGCAGCTTGCAACTTGACCGCAGATACAGCAGATGAGCAAATAGCCCAGTTTTACTTTTTTTCATATTGCAGTATCGCATTCTTCAATTTTGCTGGAATTACCGTTACCAAATTTATGTCAGCTACAACACGAATGGTGCTCGATAGTGTAAGAACAATTATTATTTGGGCTATATCAATTCCACTTTTTGACAGTCAGTTTATTCCTGAACAGGTAATTTCAATTTTCTTCTTTATCTCTTTTTTAATACCAATTTATTCTGACTTTATAACTGCTTAAATATGTCAAAAAAATCCTGAGGAATAGGAAGACTACTCTTTATTTTTTGATTATTAAATAATGTTTTTTTATTTACCTGTTTCTTCAACAATTCATAATTTTGATGGCGCCAATTATGGTTGATACAGGTGAGCAATAGTAAACAAAAAAAAACAGTTAGCAGATACAATCTTTCTGAAAACAATTATTACTTTGTCATACTTTCGTTTATAAACATAACGCTGTTGGTTCAATTTTTTCGCTTCATTAGACGCTATTGCTGGAGTTACTACTACCCCTTAGTCACTTTATTTGAAAAAGAGTTTTAAGTTTATCCTTGTTAAGATCTGTTATCAAATAGCGATGATAGTATCTAATTCACTGTTCACAGACCATTATAAACAAGTATGAAACAAACACTGTCTCGAAAAGTAGTTTTTGGTTCAAATGAACGGCTGATAAAGTGACACAATCGTAGAAGAACGACAGAAAAAAAAAGTGATTATAAAATGAGAAAAAAAAGTTAAATATTATTAAGCGTATTAAACAAACACTGAAGCTAATAAGATCAGTTGACTTTAAATTTTTAAAATTACTGTTTTTATCTAAAGCAGCTTGAATTATGTATGCAACAATGCTTGCCAAATTGTTACCAATTTTTTTCGGCTATAATTCAGTTTTGAAGGCTTAACTGATAGCTTAGTTTCAAGTTGTTTTGATTCTGGTTTGTGTTCCTTAAATTTTTTTTTGCAGATTCCTGGCTTTATTCTTCTTGTCATCGGCATGTTTTTGTACAACGACATCTTATTTATGCCATACATTCGAAAGACGGTTAGTAACAAAAAGCTTTTTTGTTTTTTAAAATAAGAAGTACGCAGAGTTGTTTTTGGGGGGAGTTCAAAAACTGTTTGCTCAATAAAGATGCTTTTTTTCTACTAAAAGTTTCAATTATAAAATTTTGAAAATGTATTACACTCGTCACGGCTTTTTTAGCACTGCTGGCAAAAAATCTTTCCTCCACCAAAAACAGATGAAGCTGCTGAAGAAAATGCCGAAAAGACTGAAGAAGCTAAATAATATGTAAAAGAATTATTTAATGACGTTAGTGGATACCCGTCATTGATCGTGAAGACTTTTTTGTACAACTGCGGCCGAACTATGATGTGGTAAAATACGATGTATCAAACAGGTTCAGCATCGGTTGACCGCCAATGTCATTCAGATAATCTGCGCTTTTCGACGGTGAAAAAAAGTTTTTATTTGTGTAACACGTAAAATTTTATTGTTTAGTTACTTCAATTTTACCACTGTTTTTAAACGTATCATATCGTGCTTATTAATGCTTTATTGTCGCTTAAAAAATTTGTTCAAGCAATTTACCTTTTATACTGCTATGTCTTCTTTTATCGGCCAGTTCCTCATCCAACTAACTGTCAAATGCCTCTTTGTCTATCGACATGAGAAAAAAAATTTTGTTTATTGATTCGTCTTCTAAAACATGACGTGTACTATAACTTAAAATTTAAGTCAATTTTAGGAAATTTATACGGGTTTTATCTTCTGTGATTTCAGCTTTCTTACGGCTTCAAAAGTTTTTTCCACCATTAATGTCTACAAAATATTTGTTGAACGGTATAGCTTTTCACTACATTGATGAATTCTGATGATTACTAGTTTTTGTAAGAGCCAAAATTATGGGATCGTGTTTTTACCAATTAGTGACAAATTGATATACATCTGTTGCTGTTCAGACACAAACGGATATGTAATATTCAAAGAAAGAAGTGCAAAATTTGTTTGCTCAAATCGTTATCGTTCCTAAAATGGTATAAGAAACTCGGTAGAACTAAAGGAACGATACGATAGCAAACAACCTTCTGCAACTGAGATTTGTTGAGATTTGACTTCCAGTATACAGTAATACTTTTTGTTTGTACTTCTATGTTAATATCTAATACTTTCTTGACATATACCAATAAAAAGCATCTTTAAAATTCTAAAATCAGACATATATCTTGTATGAGGTGTTACAGTCCACTAAACATCAGGACTTTATGCTTTGCTAAAGGCAGCAAGCAAAAGTCACAAGCTTAGAACGATAAAAACTTTTTAGTTGCATTTCTATTACAAAGTTTTTTGTGATTCAGACATTATGTTTCAATTCTTTTTTTTAAAAGTACATTTTGTTTACTACAAACTACTGGTCAGCGCAGTTCTTTCAGACCTATTCCTAAGACATTTTGGTAAAAAAAAGCAACAAAGTGCTCAACAATAGGAAAGTTTCAAAAAGTTGATTTTTGTTCAGATTACTTTCAGCAAGACTCCTGTAACTTCATACTTGCTTTGCTAGAATCTTGAAAAAAAAAAACAGGTCATAGCAGAAACTTTAGGGGTTTTTGTTCAGTTTTGGTTCAGGAAGTGTCAGATAATGCTAGGTAATGTGTTTTATAAAGAAAAAAATGTCACATTATTAAATAGTCTATCCTTCAGGTCTGTGAAAAATAATTCGCTACTTTAAAACTGAACAAAATGTAGATGAGAAAAACCGTCAGAAATTATGATTATTTTCTAAAAGAAAATATCACTCCTTTGTTGAACGCTTAAGCTAGAAGTAAAACAGTGTTACTTTGACGATGATGTGCTATTTTCGACAATGATTTTTTGTTCAGTTGAAGGCTCTCCAAATGACAAATGATAGTGGTGATGGTATTTATGCGATGATTGCTACCTGTAGTACTGATAAAATAAATTTATTAGGTGCTTTATTTTGTCCGCCATTTTATTTTTGTTATTTTTTCTACCTTTTAATGTTGAGAAAGGCAGTATTGTTAACTCAATGATATTAATATACCATTTTTATTTCTAAAGTTTATTTTTTAAATAATTATATAAAGTTTACAGTTTCTCACCTGCATTTCTCGTTTACAACTGTTTCTTTTTTACTAAATAATATTAGTAGTTTGAAAAATTTTCTAAATGTACGTTCTGTTCCAAATATCCGAAGCAGAAATGACACACTGAAATAAAAACTGAGGCACATTTAGTTTTGCTGCAACTCCACAATGACAGTGTTGCACATCTTCCAACTTATTGAAGCTCATTTTCTTGAAATGAGAAAATTGGAAGGTTTGGTCGATGTGTTGTTTAATGATTAACTTTTATAAAATACAGTTTGTCTTCGTTTTAACTTACGAAAGTTTGATAGAAATGTATTGAAAAAAATGAGAAGAAGCTGGACAGAAAGTTTTAGGGTTTTTTTGGATAAATCGACAAAGATTTAGAACCTTGTGTAAAAAAAATAATACTGAAAAAAAAAATTTGAAGAAGAAGAAAAACTTTTGAGTGGCATACCATATAATGCAATTGTGAATGTAAGCATTTCTAGTTTTATATTAACTTTCAGACTAATTATTTCTTGCTCGTATTCCAATTTTTTTTATTCGGAAATTTTAATTGCACTTTGTCTTTGCACGTAACTGCCAGTAACTCAAATGTCACCCCTAATCATTTTAGTTCTTTCGAGAACATACTGTTTTAAAACTTATATCAACACTAATCCTGATGATAGCCTTAAGATTTTGATGACCGTCAGTCGTGATTTCAGCAGCACATTTTGTCAATAACGGATTTATCTTAAGACACTTTGACTGGCCAAGAAACCAAACTAGAAAAACATCACTGGTGTAATATTTCTATAATTTGATTTCGGAAAGTTTTTGTGTCTTCAAGTAAACAAGAAATTAGTCAAGAATCAAAGAAACACAAGGTTTTTTAGATTTTACAATATCTAAAATTGATTTTTACAGTAAAATATTCGTCTTGATCAATAGTGTATTGAGTTGGCAGAACAGGAGCGACGTACGGCGCGTTCGTCTTACTTCTTCCGTCAACCGCATCGAATAATGAGTTCAAGCTAACTTTAATTTATCAGTGTCGACGAACAGCTTTTATAATATATAATACACTTGCTAGCTTTTTTTCTGATGGTTTTTTAAGCTAGTATACTCAGAATACGAAGTTTGAGATAAATTTGATTTACAGATATTTTGGTGTCTTCATTTACTGATAATTATAGCAACATTGACGACGCTGAGAAAGTCAATTTTTTTATCTGGTCACTTTGTTAGACTGCTCGGTGCTTACCATCACTGATGAGACAGGTTTAAATGTGGAGCTAATACGGTGTCGTTTTTCATGAATTTCATCAAGAACGTCCACTACTGTAGCAGAAGCTCAAAACGTTTGATCTTTATTGAGACCTGCTTCATTAAAGGAGCAAAAGCGGAACATGTATTACTTTTCTAACATTCTTCAAGTTGGTAAACTAAAACCGTATATCGCTGTTTTCCCACTTTTCAAATGTTTTT